ACAAAGTTAGACTTGTGGCTAGGGGTTTTAGTTAACAAGAAGGTCTAGATTATACAGAAATGTTTAGTCCGGTTATCAAACCCATAACTATAAGAATAATTATTTCTATTGCACTTACAAAGGGATGCTCAATAAGACAAATTGATGTCAATAATGCTTTCTTAAATGGTTCATTAAAAGAGGATATATATGAAACAACCTGAGGGGTTCAATATTCAACATCCTACTCTTATCTGCAAGCTTAACAAGGCCATATATGGCCTTAAACAAGCTCCTAGAGCTTGGCTTGCTAAGCTAGCTTCTACTTTGATCACTTTTGGTTTTAAACCAGCAAAATGTGATAATTCTCTCTTTATTCTTGTTAATGTTGTTCATAAAATATATATATTAGTCTATGTGGATGACATTTTGATTACAGGGAGCTCTCAAGCATTAATACAGAATCTCATTAACAGATTGAATACTCTATTCCCATTAAAAGACTTGGGAAAGTTACATTATTTTCTCGGATTGCAGGTTCACTATGATACACAGGGAAGCATATATGCTTCTAACTCAATCGACATATATAAATAATTTGCTGACTAAACTTAATATGCAGGATTCCAAACCTGTAAAGACACCTATTCCTCCTAGCTGCAGAATGCCAATAGATTCAATAGAGAACTTTGACAGTCTCGGTCTATACAAAAGTGTTCTTGGAGCTCTTCAATATGTCACTATAACTTGACCCAACATAGCCTATTCTGTAAACAAATTGTGCCAGTTTATGCACAAACCCCTGGAATTTCATTGGAGATGTGTAAAAAGATTGCTATGATACTTGAGCGGTACAAAAGACCAAGGATTACATTTTCAGAAATCACCCAGTCTGCCAATAACTGGGTTCGCAGATTCTAATTGGGTAGCAGACATAACAGACATGAGGTCTACAACAAGATACTATGTATTCGGGGAAAATCTAGTATCCTGGATGGCTAAGAAGCAACACATTATTTCCATATCAAGTACAGAAGCAGAATTTAGGAGCCTAGCTGCCACAGTATCTAAAATTACATGGATTCAGTCCTTATTAACAGAATTGCATGCAAAACACGCTAAACCACCATTAATTTGGTGTGACAACTTGGGTGTTGTTTTCCTTACTACAAACTCAGTCCTTCATTCCAAGTCAAAACATTTTGAACTTGATTTGTGGTTTGTAAGAGAAAGAGTAGCACAAGGTCTCATTGAAGTCAAGCATATACCTTCACAGTTTCAAGTGGTTGATCTTCTAACCAAGTCTCCTTCAACAACCATCTTTCAAAGCTTAAAACCCAAACTAAATGTTGTTTCTACAGACCAGTTTAGTTTGAGGGGGGATATAAAGGATACTTGATGTTTTCTATTATAACAAATTTTATTATTAGTTTTATTAATTGCTTTATAAATTTGTATATATCCTGTATCTGATACATAACAAATCAATAATATTTTCTTTGCTTCACTTTCTCTGGACCCGCAGCACTTGTTCGAGTTCACTCACTCAATCTCTTTGTTTCTCAACACTTACTAAGCCTCTGTCTGCTACCCGTTTTGAAGTTCTTAGAGGCAAACTCAATGTGTGAAGTTTTTGTGACAAACCGCTCCACCTTGAGTTTAAGGGAGGCTATTAGTGTATAAAATCAAAACAAAAAGAGAATATTTGTTTGTTAGCCTTTTTACTTTTTGCATGCTATTACAACTTCAGAATATTCCTAGGTGTAGAGGGACACCTATCCTTTATTTTCTCTCTCTGTTGTTGCTTTTACAACTACTACTTTTACAATTGTATTACTCTTTTATTTTCTCTCTCTGTTGTTGCTTTTACAACTGTATTTCTGAAGGGTTTCCTATATATATTAGAACCTATGTATTCATTGTGGGTGTAATGAAATGAAGTTTCTCTTTACATCTTTATCTCTTTCTACTTTTATATAATAGTCTCTACACTTATTTTTGTCAATCTTTTTTAATCTTTATAGTTTTAGAGAAATATTTTTAATTTCTATATTTACAGTTTTTTTTGAAACATTTTAGTCTTTATCATTAAATTTTAGTCTCTACCACGTTAACACAAAATAAACGTTACAAAAAAATAATAACGATAGAGATTAAAATGATTAAAAAATTGTAAGTATAAGAATTAAAAAGATTTATATTAAACTATAAAGACTGAAAACTTTATTTTAAACTAAAGGTACTAAAGGTAAAGTAAGTGAAATTATAAGAGTTAAAAAAAGATTTTAACATCTTTTATCTATCAACGTTTTTTTGTTATATGTTTATTTATTAATATTGATGTATAATTTATTTAATTACTAAATATTTTATTATTAAAATTTAACAAATGTCTATTTTTAATAAAATTTAATATTAAAATATCATATTTTCAAACATATATTAAAATAATTCTACTAATTAATAAATATTATAAATTTGAACATATTATCTAAATTCAATAATATGAATGAAAAAATATAAATATATAAAGAATTGTATATAAAGAAATGTTACTTAACAAGATATAAAATTTGAATCAATTGTTTGTTAAGAGATTGAAAATTTTATTAATTTTATTTTCTTTATTCAAATCTCATCATTTATGTTATTTTTTTTTATTAATTGTTTTCTTTTTAAAATTGATATTATACTTTGAAATTCAATAAAATATTTTCAAAATTCATTAAAATCTATATTACAAAATCTTAATTAATAAAGTCTTTTTAAAAAAATATTAAAAAATCATTAAATTTCTAAAAAATCTTAAGAAATTCCAATCCAATACACCTCTTTAATTTATATTAATAAAAATTTTAATTAATTATTATGTTGTTAAAATCTAATATATACAAAAAAAACTATTAAAAGAATAACTCCACCAAAAATTACTAGTTTACACAAGCTCTCATACAATATATCACATCTGGCTTGAGTCAAGCATTTGTTCCTCTACTTTGAATCCAAATTGAAGTTAATTGTTTTTTACTTTTAAGGAAAATGCCGATAATACCTTATCTAATACACATTTTTGAATATATTCTTTTTATCAGTTAAATTTTATTAAAAATCACAAAAGAATTATGTAACGATCGTCTTATTTAATGAAAGTCTTACGAAATTTTATATTTTTGAAATAAATTTTAACAGATGGAAGAAAATGTGTTCGAAAGAATGTATTAAATAGCGTGTATTTACTGCAGCAACTCAAATCAAACCTTCCTCACCCTTGTAATCGATTCCTGCTATTTGTGGCCAATCATCTTATAATAGCTGCCTTTCCTCTTTGCTTCTTCCCACATAATGCCAAAAACAGCTTTCGAAACTGCTAAACAAATAGACCTCAGACTTTTGAAACAACATAATGAACCAATCACTTTTATTAGTATTGTGCTTCATTGCAAAATTATTTTTTACAAGCTACTGATAAACTCCATAAAAGAAAGAATTCTTTTGGCTCACAAGTCACAACTATATATACCAGAGGTGATAAATCCGCAAGACAAATAACAGAGGGATTAGCTTTATATAGCATTTTATCTTTAACCAGTCAAAACATAATGTGTACCATAGATAAACAATCTTTACCTTTAAATAAGACCTACACTTTTTAAGAAACAGAGAAAAGAGAAAAGATACCAGTCTACCAGAACCAAAATTTGGAGCACTGTGTAGAAAATATAAATGCCGGATGTTGAAACTAATTACAAAGGCCTCCCAAAAATAAAATACAAGAATCAACTGTCACCTAGTTTCTATACTCGCACTTAAGCAACCTACACAGCTACAGATAAATGCACTGCAATTATTTCCCTACTGACAATATTTTTAAACACTTCAAAAGAAAAAAATCTCTCAATTCAACTAGGCCCAAATTGAAGTAACAGACAAAATAAGGTACATGGTGAGGTGATTCACTCAATTCCCTTCTATAACAATCTTGAAAGAAAAACATAAAGGGAAATACAAAAACATATAATGTAGTATTTGAAGAATATCCTACTACTACATATCATTCCCTCTGAAGAATATCCTAATACAAGAGGCAAGAGAAGTGTCTATAAAGGCATTGTAATATTTGAAGAATATCCTACTACTACATATCTTTCGTCCCCCAGTAAAAGAAAAAATACATATAAATATCACACTTTTGAAGAATTTAAGAAAAAATTGTCTGGCCCACAAAAGGGAGAAATGGAAAAAGTGACACAATTCAGAAACAGATAAATGCATTGATTTTTAAACAACTCATTCAAAAGAATCCAACCACTCAATTCAATTAGGTACCAAACATACACCAAATATGGTCCATGGTAATTCACTCAAAATCCCCTTTTACCAGAATCTTAAAAGAGAGGCATACAAAGGGGAAATACTTAAAAATATAAATAAACAAGAGAAGAAAGACATAAAAGGGAAATACATAAACATACAATATAACAAGAGGTCAGAGGGGCAAGTGTCTATCAAGACATTGTTCTATTTGAAGAATATCCTACAACCCCCTCCTCTTTTGTCCCAAAATAAAAGAAAAATACATGTAAATATCAACACTTTTGAAGAATTTACATAAGAAAAATTTGTCTGGACAATAAAACAGGAGAATGGAAAAAAACAAAAAGAGAGACAACTTTGCTATTCCTTAAACTTGAGATTCATATCAGGCCATATGTCCATATTTTCATGAAAAATTTCAACTCTAGAACTTGATAATAAATGGTAGGATAAGCAATGTGATCAGTATGTTTTTCATTCTTTGTTCCATCCATCACTCTTTCTTGAAACTTATATTAGCTATTATTTAAGCTCAAGTATACGTATCTGGATTTGATCACTGACACACCAAAACAAACCTTGAAGTGAAATCCCAAAATTCTCTCTCATTTTTATTCCAATTCTAAGCAACATAATCAAAACACAATCAAGTAACTTAGTTTCTAATATTTAAAAAATAAAAAGTATACATTTTTAAGCAATTAACCCTGAAATATGATCATCCATATAGTCCCCCTTTACTTTCCCATTCACCATTGTGCCCACCTGAAAACACATAAGAAGCTATCAGGATGTTTTAAACAAGAATTAACAGTATAACACCATTTCATGTTGACAAATGAAAACATACCACAAAAACAGGACTCAAATCATTGTTCCAAACTGGGACATATTCCTCTATGTCAACTAACTTTTCTGAAGTATAGGAGAGACCTGCATGCCACGCTTATAAAAACCCCAGACAGAAGTTGCAATAGAAACCAATTTGTAAACAAGTACGGAGCAGTGAGTTATTTCATATTACATGTAAAAGACTCGACATATTGAAAGGATTAAACAAATAAAATGTTATGACTTTTTTCAAATCCACAATGTGTCTCAACTGAGGAGGCCAAATCAAACATTTTTCAAATAAATAACATGTTATAATTTCTATCCGACCCACAATGTGCCTCGATTGAAGACCCTAAACCCAACATTTTGTCCCAGAAGGTTGTAAAACATAATAGTAGCAAGTGTTAATATAATGTCCAAAAGGAAAGGAAACACCGTAATAAATCATGTTTTTAGTTGATAAAATCTGGTTGTTAAAATTTATTAGCAACCCAGAAGATTGCTTCAATTGGAAGTTAGATGCTCCACCTCAGGACAAGTTCAACCAGAAGACAAACCCAAGTTCTTTGTTCAGGATTTGGTGTTGCTATAAGGGAATGGCAAGCTAATTGGATAGGAGGCTTTGCAGGATTTTGTGACCAACATGAAACAAAGAGCATAATGGAAACAACTCACCTTCATGCTCCTTTGTTGGAGAAGATCCGATCCTCGCCCACAAGAGTCTGGTCTCTATTTTTTCAACAAACATTCAAATAGGATCAAATTATATACTGCAAATATTGCACTCTTACTCTCATTTCAGAAATTTCAATCACGGGTTGAATCATTGAAAAATGAATATAAAGAAAAAGGAAAATACATTTTTGGAAAACCAAAAATATTTATAAACACTGCAAATAAAGTACAAACTAGACAATAATGAGTAAAAAGAGACATTTTTACATAATGTACAGTCACCCAAAAGTATAGACATCCTAGGAAAATCCGAAACTGCAAAATTAACTAGAGTCAATATTCTAATCCTTGGAATGAGTTGCAGCTAGTTGACGAGAGAATCACCCAAGTCCATCTCCATGTCTGAGTCTGAATAATTAATGTCAGATATGTCAAGTTCCTCATCAAACAGAGATGTAAAAATGTCCAATAGGCTCCTTTCATGATCCTTCTTAATTACTTTGCCTGAATCAGCATTGACAGGAGAAATGCAATAGCGTGCCTGTCCAGTTTGTTTTGTGGGACTAACAATAACAAGTGGAGAAATGTTGGTAGGAGATACATCTGTTTGAATGTGAGGGGGAGTAGCCTCCACATACATATTGGAACAATTGGAGGAATGTTGGTAGGAGATACATTTGTTTGAATGTGAGAGAGAGTAACCTCCACATTACATATTGGAACAATTGGAGGAATGGTGGTAGGAGATACATTTGTTTGAATGTGAGAGGGAGTAGCCTTCACATTACATATTGGAACAATCAGAGGAATGTTGGTAGGAGATACATCTGTTTGAATGTGAGAGAGAGTAGCCTCCACATTACATATTGGAACAATTGGAGGAATGGTGGTAGGAGATACATTTGTTTGAATGTGAGAGGGAGTAGCCTCCACATTACATATTGGAACAATCGGAGGAATGTTGGTAAGAGATACATTTGTATCATTGTGAGAGGAATGTGTCCGCAGAACACGATTTTTACTGCCAGGGGGTCTACCACGACGCTTCTTTGCAACTGTAGGTAGGGATGGCAAAAATACCCGCACCCGCGGGTATTTGTGGATAAAATCCGCTACGGATAATAAATAGATAGGCTAATTGGGTACTCGCGGATAATGGGGACGGATAATTTTTTACCCACTTATAAATGGGGTGGGGGCAGGTATGATGATATCCATACCCGCGGGTACCCGTTTAATATTATTTCTTAAATATCCTAATTATCCTTGTACCACATAATCCTAAAACTACACTCTCTCATCTTATTTTCTTACAAAAGTGAGGTTGATAAAGTTACCGACATGTGTTAAGCATGTTATAAAATTATGTTGGATGTAATTTGATTAATTTTCTAGCTTTGATTGGACCAATAAAATTTATGTATTTTAAGTTGTTTACTTTCATTTGGAATTATGAGATTGAATTATTGTAACTTTGTGATGAGACTTTAACTTACTTGTGAGATTGATGTATTTTAAGTTATTGATTATCTTGAATTTTTATTATTATTTCAACAAAATTAACGTTAAATAAAAGTTCAACATTAACATTGAATTTTTATTTTTAAAATTTCAATGACATTAAAATATAAACTTAAAATTATTTGTAATATAATTTTTTTTAATTTCTTAAAAATTTTATAAATATCCATGGATATCCGTGGATATCCGTGGGTATTCAAGAAATTCATGAATACCCGCTTAATGGATACCCGCGCGAATATGGGTGGGTATGGGGCCAATTTTCATTCAGCGGGGCGGGGGCGAGTTTACTATTACCCGCCCCCATGGGCCCCATTGCCATCCCTAACTGTAGGGTCATTTATTGGTTCACTATGTTTTCTCTTCTTGCTAATCATGGGTGTGGAGAAATTTGTGGTATCCAAATTGGTTTCGATGGACACAGACTGTGAGTAGATATGAGTTGCGTTTTGTGTAGTATTAGGAACACCTATAAGAACAAAAACATAAAAAAGAAAAACATGAAGATCAAAAAATTAACTCATGAGGTGAAGGAGTTATGATACCGATTGCAGAATTAGTGTTGATAAGATTATTCCCTTGCAATAGCATCCGAATAATGTTTTTCTCTTGCATCATGGCAGCCTTTTCTTGATTCAGCAACAACACTTGCTTCTTCAAGGAGACATACTCATCCATCATCTCTGCCAAACTCATCACACTCGATGGCACCTAAAAGAAAAACAATTAGTAAAATAAAGTCTTAAGAAAGTAAATTAAAGAAGCTTTGATACAAAAAATACCTCTTTGTTGATTATGGCATTAGCAATGAGAGGGTTAGCCTCTTTAAGAAAGTGGGTGCGTGATGAGAAAAACTTGTTGAGCGAGAGATAGCGGTACACAAGGAAGGCCAGTTGATTTGGATTCATCTTTTGATCCAAAGAATCCATGAGCAGAGTCCAGAGAGAGAGAATGATCAAAGACTCTTTTCTTTGCACTCCGCTGTGCTCATTTTATACGGATTCAAGGAAATGCCAACCTTCTCTTTTCTTTTCAAAATCACAATACCCTTCCTTAACTCGATAAGGAAATTAACGGTATTTCCCGCTACAAATATTTATTAAATTTTTCAGAAAACAAAAATATACCTAGCAAAATAATAATGATAAAAGATGTTCAATTTAAGATAGAAAACCTAGTAATTTATAGTCTTTTTTCCCCATATATCTATTTAAATATAGGATATTTAAATGAGAATTAAGTGTTTGATAAATTTATTTCTCATTAAAGTGGCTAAATTTTTAAATTTATTTAATTTCAAATTAACGATGATTTAATTCAATATAGAATAATGAATGTTAAATAATATTATTGTTAGTTTATGCATATATTAAAATTTATTAGTATAAATCATTTATGGATCATCCAAAGGTTGATCAATTATTTTTATAATTAATGAATATAATTATGTGTCACATTATTTATGATAATAGACAATTTTAATTGGTGCATGTTTAGTTGTTAAATAATGATTAAATTTTATTAGCATCATTATGTTTGTATATTGTTTTTAATATATCATCCAAAAGAAAACATCAATATACTATTAGTTATTGCTTGAATATATTATATGTGTAGCATGTGATTTATGTTTCAAAACACTTATGTGAAGTTTTATTATGTAATAATTATTTCCACATCTCATTAAATTTTCATCTAGCGTATGTTCCAATTTTTAATGGACTCAACTTCTCTGACTAAAATGAGCATGTAACACCCTGTTTAGAAAAATGATATTTTATTAATATTATTATATTTTTATTACATTTTTGGGGTTAAAAATATTTGATTATATTATTATTGTTATTAAAGGAAAAATATTTTTGTATTAATATTTACATGTATTTTATTAAATTATTTTGAGAAAAAAAATAAGTAGGTCGAGAAGGGTAATGAGTTGGGTTGACTTGGCCTGAGAATGTAAAGGAAGAGATTAGCATGTTAACCTTCATTAGTCTCATTTTGGCATTTCTGAAGGGGTAAGAGAAAGAGTAAGGAAAAGCAAGAGCTTTGAGGATGAGTGTCTAGGAGAAGATCAGGAACGAATTTCACTACACCAGGAATATTTCAATTAACGCAACCAAGTATGGGAAAAAAGGGGATCTTTATATGTAGAGTTACATGAGGGAATGGGTAAAGGAAGAGTTTCCTAGGATTTTTAGAAATTTTATATGTTTTCTTTTTATATATTTAGTAATTTCAATAAGTTCTGTGTGGGTTTTTGGCCATCATTTTGATATTGATTGTTGGAAAAGGATACAAGGGATGTGAGACTAAATGGTTTTGAAATGTGCTTGTAGACTAGGGTTTAGAGAAATTGGGATCAGGAGGATTGATGCATGTTTTTGGATAATTATTGTATGATGTTGTATTTTTAAGTAAGTATGATAACTTTTGACCAATTAAAATGTAAAAAGGGTGATTGTATGATGAATGTGGGGTTGGGTACGTATTGTTCGTGTTTTATGGGTTGTAGAAACTCATGATAGTGTCGGTCTTAGTTCCTAGCACCAAGCGTACATTCATAGGACGAATGTAAATTTCTAGAATATTTACGCTGAACAAAATTAAGATTTCATCGGGCGTAATTCCTTAAAGAGGTCTCTGCCATACCTAAACGCCGGATGTGATCTCTTAGCGTTAAGTGTGAGCTAGAGCAAGAGCTCTCGGGTTGAGTCTCGCTGGGAAAAATTAGAATTTTGTTGAGCGTGAGCGAGAGTAAGAGCTCTCGGGTTGAGTCTCGTAGCACGAAATCATAATTTTGCCAGGCATGAGAAAAAGCATGAGCTCTTGGGTTGAGCCATGCTAGGCAAAATTCTAATTCTGTTGGGCACGAGTCTGAATGGATATTGTGGATTTATGATGTGTTTGTTAATTGTTTTATGGGTTAATATGTGTGTTTTGGTGAATGTTGGATGTGATGTAAACTAGTTGTGAATTGCAAGATATGTGTATGATTCTTTTGGTTCATGTGGAAATGTTGGTTTGTGTATGAGATATTGGATTGAATTGTGAATGTGCTATGATGCTTTGGCACAGTTGTATGAGTTACACAGTACTAGATGTGTAATGCGTTGATACGGTCATGTGCGTGATACGATACTAGTAGTGGAATGTATTGGCACAGTCATGTGTGTGACACAATGCTAGACATGTGATGTGTCAGCATGGGCATGTGCGTGATATAGTGTTGGATGAGTGACCCGATGTATATATGGTTTGTGATGAGATAGTGGAATGGGTTGATTTAGAGTTGATGATATTGAGCATGTTTGAATGATGGATATTGCGTTTGCATATTATATTAAATTGAGATTGTTTAATGGGAATTCCCTATTGTGTTTTTCATATAGATATCTTCTTTTCTCACCGTACATTTTGTGGTTGTTCTTAGGTGAGAAAAATCCGGACATAAGTCGTATTCAAGGTGCCAATAGTTAAGTCATGGGATTGCTTTGATAATGTAACATCAGGGCAAGGGATTTTAGAACGTTGATTTCATTATTATTGGAGTTTATACTCGTTTGTTAATTAAATTTATGAACTTATATTTTATAAATATTTGTTTTAAATTATTTGGATATTGGAAATATTTTGATTGTGAACCATTTTACCCAAGTTGGAGAACTATTTCTTTATATTTTTATATTATATATGTTGGGGTAGAATGGGTGTCAGAGAGCAAGTCCAATTTCACCTTCATGTCTTGAATCTAGACTTTGATATATTGGAAGAGAAGCTTGTTGCTATTACTAACTCAAGTAGTGATAAAGAGAAATTTCATTATAAAACTGAAAATGTTAAAGAATTTATGGGATTAGTGGAAGAATGCTCTCAAACAACTGATAAGTCTCTTGCTAGGACACTAATGAGTACACTAACCACCATAAAATTTGATAGTTCACTTATTATGTTTGAGCATGTCATTGAGATGACAAAGATTACAATAAGAGTTAAATCCTTGGGAATGATTATGAATGAGAACTTTCTTATACAACTTATTCTTAAATCACTACCAACTGAGTATGGTCCATTTCAAATGAGGTATAATATCATGAGAAAATGGAATGTGCATGAATTGCACAATATAGAAGGAAACAAAGCTTAAAAATCAAGGCAATCACTCAATTCATTATGTAATTCACTAAAGGAATCAAAGAGCTAAAAATAAATTTGTAAAGAAACATAATAAAGGCAAGGGGCCATTAAAAATTAATTAGGCATTTGCACAAATCCATCAAAAAGCATCAAAGAGTAATAATTTCCATTTTTATGGTAAATCTGGACACTTACAAAAGAATTGTAAAAAACGTAAGGCATGATTTGAAAAAAAAGGTAAGTTTAATGCTTATATATGTTTTGAATCAAATTTAACTCAAGTACCCCATAATACATGGTAGACTGTAGGCATTGCAACGAATCAGGTACATGTTTCATGATACATGTCCCCGTGGTTCAAACTCATCCCCATCCCAGTTCCCATACCCGTTGGGTATATAATTTTCGTCTCATCCCCGTCGGGTATCGGATATATCAGTACACATACCTGTCAATAATTAATTAATTTTTTTATAAAAAAAACACAGTATTTTTAACTGATTTTTCCATTATATTACAATTGTAATTAAGTTATGTGTCTATCTCATATTTTAGTCAAGAGACTTCTTAATAATTAAAAAACCACAAATATTTCACATCATAATAAACAATCACACATAATTAAATATTAAAATTCTTTAAAATAATCAAATCGGGGACAAGGACAGGTATTAAATCGGGGATGGGGACGGGAACAGGACGGGTAAGTATATGCCCGTCCCCGATTTAATATTTCAAGTTTTACCCATATCCGGTCAAGTCCAGTATTCTTCGACAAAGTCGGGACGGGTTCAGGTATTATCCACGGGTACGAGTTTATTTGTCATCTCTAATAGATTGATTTTGAATGTACAACTCATGTTTCTTGTACAATGTAGGGATTCACATAATCCAAACCATAAGTCCAAATGAGAAACTCGTCTTCATAGAGAATAAAATGAAAGCTCCAGTGGAAACAATAAAGGCTTATCGTTTAATCTTTGACACTAGACATCACTTAGATTTATTGGGAAGTCTTTATGTACCTAGTTTATTTAGGAATTTGGATTGTCAAAATTTGATGTTATTGAATACTCTTTTAATTTTGGTAATGAAATTTTTAGTTTATTTAAAAACTAATCATCTAATTGATATTGGTATTCTTTGTGGTGGTTTATTTAAATTGAATTTATATGGTTTGTATGCTAGAAACCTCTTAACTTTGCATCATAACATTTGCACTATACATAGTTTAGTAAATGAATGTTATACTTTCTTATGGCATAAATGTTTAGGTCAAATTTCTAGAGAAAAAATTGAAATATAAATTAAGAATGAAATTATTCCAAATCTAGATTCTCAAATCTAAATATTTGTATGGATTGTATTAAAGAAAAACAAAACAAAACATACAAAAAAATGAGCTACTAGAAGCATTCAGCTTCTTGAAATTGTACATACCGATATACATGAGTCTTTTGATATCAATTCATTCACAAAGGAAAAATATTTCATTATAGATGACTATTCTCATTATGGTTATGTCTATTTACTACATGAGAAATCTCAAGTAGTGGATTCTTTGGAATTTTATTTGAATGAAATAGAAAGACAATTAAATAAAAAGGTGAAAGCTGATAGGTTTGATAGAGGTAGTGAGTATACTAAAGATATAATGAAACTAGACAACATCAAGGTCTATTCACTACACACCTTTAGAGATGTGTCATTTGAGCACAATAAATAATGTTAAGTACACCACAACAAAATGGTGTACCACAAAGGCGTAATAGAACATTAATGAATATAGTTA